GGCCTTTGTAGCTTGGTATGTTAGGGTTAATTTGTTTTTTCCAAATCTAGAAACTGGGGCTAGAAAGAGAAGAGAAATGAAGGGAGAAGAGGGGCATACAGACAGGAGAGGGAGACCAGCCAGCCAGGACAGTAGGCATGAGCCACTCAGTGAGGTAAGAGAGGAACCCTGCAGGAAAAAGGCCCTTTCCCCATCCCCCCAGCTTTCTCCCTTGGACACACCCCTTCCTGTCTGTCTGTTTATCCAGTAAAGTAAAGACCGCAGGAGTAGGAGCTTCACCTAAACAAAGAGCACAGCGGATGCTGTGATCTCAGCACAAAGCGAAGATCCTACTTTCTGGGCTCCTCCGCTTTCTCTGGATGTCCTCACCTGCCCCACCTGTCTCCTTCCAGCTCCCCTCCTTGGGCTGGGAAGGCAGAGGGAGGGTGGATTTCTGGCTGTAATAATAATAATAATAATAGCTCATGTTTACATAATGCTTTGCAGTTCACAAAGAGCTATCCTTGCAACAACCCGTGAGGGAAGTAGGCGCTTTGATGCATTTAAGGGATCTGTGATCTCATCAGTTTTCCTTCTATGGGTGAAAAGCACAGCCCCTCCTCGTAGTCTCATCTTGTCTGTGTCTTTCCATAGACCTTCCAAAGGTGATGCACCCAACTCGCTCAGAGCCTTCCCTGAGGTTCTGTTGATAGGATCTGTAATTAACATTTTATGTAGTTCCTTGGAGTTTATAAGATGATTTCTTCACACAGCAGGTAGGAAGAGCATTATTTCTATTTTACAGAAGAAGGCTAAGTGATTGGCTTAGAAGTACACAACTGAGAATCAGAGTTGGGATTTGAACCCAAGTCTCCTGACTCTAAGACTTGGAAACTCCTAACTCTTTCCATTACACCAGGCCACAGCAGTCAGGCTGAGTATTTGTTCTCTCTCCCTCTTGCTACATGACCAGCACACGGCACGCTTCCTTTTCCAGCTCTCCACGCCCTCAGTGTCCTTCACGCTTCTCCTGGCAATGAAGTCATCGGCGGTAACTTGCTAACGCCTCCTTGTGCCCACCATGTGTTTTTCCATTGCACTTTTGGATTACTTATAATTTTGATTCTTTGGAGATTACAGTGTTCCATGATTTCTATCTGCAGAGCAATCTTAGGAGAATACTGAAGTGAAAAAGTTGGGCATTTACAGCACAGGGAAGTTTGGTATAACTCAAAATACTGTGATATTCCGCAAATGCAATCATCTGAGCTCTTTTTTTTTTTTACTAAATATTGGGCCCAGCTAATTTTCCATTTCGTTTTCCTAAAGCACACACACATATGCCTGTATACTCTGTGTGTATACACACACACACACACACACACGTAATTCAATGGGTTGGCCATCCAACTTCATGTCATAATCTGAGCAGTATGTTTTCATCCGCTTGCTTTTTCTGGTGTAGATGGTTAGTTAAACCAATCTCTTTGTCATTGCTGTGGATTCCATGAGAAAGATCTGTAGTGTTCTAGGGCTCACTGCAATCAATGCAATGTCATCTCAAATAGTAGAACCTTGTCATCAATACAGAATTCTTTTGTTTGAACTTTATGAAGAGCCCTATTCATGACACTGGTGAACAATTGAGGTGAATGTCTCTCTGTTTCACAGCCCTCTTTGATGTTAAGTCCTCTGCAATGGCAAAGTGGAAGCTGGGGCAAATTCTCTGGAGCCAGAAAGGCTTCAAGTACAGGCTGGGAGACAGATTGTGTCTTTCTTATGGGAGGGTCTGCCTGGCTAAATTCAGATAAGATCATTGCCAGATTGACCATAGGGCGATGAGTTTCTCTGCCATACTGACTTTTGAAGACTTTTTACTAAACCATAGGGAGCTTTTCATCTGCCTCCCTAGACAGAATACCCACACCAACAAAAGTGTGGGTCCTTGAAGTATTGATGTCAATACTTAGTAGTTTAGCATTTGTCATAGTCATATAATTTAAATAGATGAATGGAAGATGTTTTGTCTGAGAAGAGTTTTCAAAGCTTCATTTTCATTTTTTTTTTAAATCAGTGAATAAGCGCAGAGTGAGATGACATGTTTTCTGTAACTCTTAATCGAGTGTGTGACCAAAATGTGGTCTCCTGTAGAAAGCCATTTGGGAAAGCCAGGCTGGTAGCTTCTGATAGTTTTCACCAAGGATTCCCAAGGACACTCAAGAATTTTATAGGGATCAGTAGTTTAATGTCTTCTTAGTTGCATTTAAACTTTTTTTTTAGCACGGTAGAAGTAATTTCTAATCTTTTCCTTTCTTTTTGGAATCTTCTGATCCATTAAATAACTTCAAAATTGATCCCCAAGTGCCTTTAAAACTGCGCCATCTCTGACATAGATTTCTTCTGTGTCTTTGGTCAGATCCAGTGACTTTGCCAACTACCTCGCAAGTTCCATTGCTATTTACATGCAACTCACTTAAACATGTATTAAACACCTACTGTGTACAGAGCACTGTGTTAATTCCTTAGTAGGAATACACATTTCAGATAAGATGTAGTTATTGCCCTCATAGAGCTTACAATCTATTAGGATACAGTCTAATAGGCTCCCAGTCGGTACGTTGGCTACTCTCCAATGTACCAGTACTATCCAATATCTAGGAGGCTCCCAGTCTAGTACATTGGGTACCGAGACTAGTAACATACAAACATGTTGGCTGGCAGGTACTGTTACTAGTGAAACAGACCACCATCAAAGACCCTGACCTATGTGTTTCATTTCATCTCTGCTTGTTGTTCTTCAGAGTTTATCTATAAATGCTTTTGTGGATCACACATTTAATTTCCAGTTCTCTCCAGTCTCATTTTCTCCTCTGTTGTTGTTATTTCTATTTTGCAAGTGAACCCGAACACCAAAATGATGTTGCCCTCAGCTGCTGTGCCTCGGCCGTTGGCACAGAGATTGACAATTTGCTGGCTGAGTCAGTTTCTGGACGCTTTAACCATCGTCACTGCGGTGACTACTCTGCACTAAGAAATAGCGAAAGAGCCACTGTCTTTACTTTTGTCCCTTTTTCCTTTTTTTTTTCAGCTGATAGCTTGTTTAAACAGGTGGGACTGGAGCAGCTGTAATCACATGTCGTGTCTTCTCCTCTCTATCCTTTCTTCCAATGTGGTGTTTACTTTGACCTTTGTTCTACCAGTCGATGATCTGACTGCACACAGACAGCTGATTCCGAAATGACTATCACATCTGTAAGCAATCATTTCCTGACTGTTAATAGATAGTCAGTTTCATTTTTTTAAAAAAAATGTTATTTAATGCTCCCCATGTCTAGTGAATTCCAGTTATCCTCTTTAACAAAAGCCTTTATGATGTACAGGCATGATGAAACTTTTGTGTAAATGACAAGGCTCTGGTTTCTTTCCTTTCTTAATCCCAAGGTTGGTAGTACAAATATCATTATCCTTTATTTACAGCTAAGGAACCTGAGCTTTAGAGCTGTAAAGTGACTTACAATTGGTAAGGGAGAGAGCCATAATTTGAATCCGGGTCTTCTGGCTCAAAGTCCAGTACTCTTTCACTATACTAGGAAGGTCAGTCACTTTTATGGACAGATCAACCCAAATGGCAGAATCCTGTCTCAGGTTCTGGCAAATTAAGTGGGCAGAAGCAGAGGAAAGAGGAAGTAGAGGTCTTATCCTTAAGGAGTTCCCTGAGGATGGGGAAGGCGTACAATCTGACTTTAGGCATTTTTAATGTGATTGAGGAGGTATAGTACTTACCCCTCAGGGAGCCCCCAGCCTATTTAGGGAGGCTCTTTTCATCCTCATATTTTCATGTAAATATTTGCCTGATTTATTTATTCTTCCCTTAGAATGTAAGCTCTTTAAGGGCAGAGACTATTTTTCATTTTGTTTTTCTATCCCTAGTCTCTAGAACAGTGCCTTGAACAGAGTAGGTGCTTAATAAAAAAAAAAGTCCCTTAAGATTTACAAAGTACTTTCCTCATAACAATCCTGTGAAGTAGATACTAAATTTTAAAAATATTTTAAAATATTTTCCCTGTCTTAGAGATGTAGAAATTGAGGCATAAAGAGGTCACACGACTAATAAGGGGCAGAATCAGAACTCAAACCCAGGTCTTCCTAACTCTAGATCTGATATTCTTCCACATTGCTGCCACAGGCTACATTTATCTTTTCCTAGCCTTGTCCTTCCACAAATCTGAGTCAAGATGGGTTTTAGAATGGCAATTTTAAAGGAAAGACAGATGCTATATGACCTGAAATTATAATGACAATGCTTGGCCTCAAAGAAAAGATATGAGAGGGTACTTCCTTCCCTTTGAGGAGGGGGCAGACTGTGAGGTGTGGAATAATACAGAGATCAGGGGCAGCTAGGTGGCACATTGGATAGAGCACCAGCCCTGGAGTTGGGAGGACCTGAGTTCAAATGCCGTCTCAGAGCAGATAGTTGACACTTACTAGCTGTGTGACCCTGGGCAAGTCACTTAACCCCGATTGCCTCACCAAAAAAAAATGTAGGTGATATAAAAACAAATGATGCTAGTACACAATCTTTTTTTTTTTTAAATGAGAGTTTAAAATATCTGCCCAGTGTATGGCTGAAGGCTAGTTTTCCCCTGAAACTTATTACTCATGGTATGCTGTCAAAATGCTTGCTCCATCTCTGAGTCCAGCCCTAGGATAGTGGCTCCCCAAAGTCTTTCAGTGAGGAACCAAGTCAGCCTCCTGATATCTGGGTTTAACTTACTGGTTTATTTTTAAATTCATGTTATCATTAATTAGTCAATCAGAAGTGGCTATCAACATCTAACCAGGTCTTGGCAGACCATTCACATACCTATGTGTGATCACTAATCAATGCCTAATGAATGAATAACTCAAGGAGAAATATTAATTGCTCTCCAATTATTCCTTCTTCCCAAACATTCACAAGTATGCTCCATTCTTTAACAAGAGGTGATGAGAGTTTAGAGAGGAGACAGACCACCATGGGCTAAAGAGCCAGGGAAAGTTTAATAAATCAGCTGGATTTGACCTGAGCCCTGATAGATGGGATTTGGCAAGGTACAGCAGGGTGTAGTAGAAAGGTCATTGGACATAGAATCATTGAAATTGAGAGCTGGAAGTAGTTTTAGAGGTCATCTGGTTCAATTGTTCCATTTTAGTGATGAAAAAACCAAGGCCATGAGAGATGGAGTGATTTTCCCAAGGTCACACAGATCATAAGAGGTCCAGCTAGGATCTGAACCCAGGTCTTCTAATGCCAAATCCAGTGCTTTCCCTGCTGGGTTTGAATTTCAGTTCTGCTGTTTGCTAGCTATGCAACAGAAGGCCATTCACTCTCCTTCTCTGGGCCTCAGTTTCCTCCTCTGTAAGATGAAAGGGTTACATAAGGCGATGTCTGAGGTCTCTTCCGGCTCTCCCAGTCTAGTTAGGAAAGGGCACTCCAGCTGGGAGCTCAGAATGGGGGGAACAAGGTGAGCCAGGAGATTGTTCTCTGTTGGGGAGAGGCTAGGAAGACCGATGTCTCCTCCTAGTCCAGGTTCACTGTGGGCTGCAAACCTTCCTGCAGACTTTGCCCCACTCGCTTGGCAGGGCTCCACCCTGACTATTGCTGAAGCCGAGGCCCAGGAGGTAGGACCCAAGAGGCCTGGATCTCTTTAATTTCTCTGCCTGTGGGTGGCAGGGCTTGGCAAGGGAGAGAGAGGCATGGAAAAGGGATCGAGACACACGTTACGCAATCTCTCTGCCACACTTGGCTTTTGTGAAACCCTAGCCAAGCCCCAGACACGGGCAAAGCGACAGCTCACACGGGGAGGACCCTTTTTCCTTCCTGATATCTGTCCTTGGAGTGTCATAAATAATCCCTCAGCGGGGGAAAACAGAGAGTACCATGTACACAGCAGCACCCTCTCATAATAAATAGCTCATGACTGTGGGTTTCAGACATACCACAGGTCAAATCCTGCCCACCCTCCCAATCCTCTCAGAATCAAATAGTTTCATGCAGGAACAGCCTGAAATAGCCCCATTAGTCTATCTGTCCCTTAGGCAGGGGTCCCACTGGGGTTCAGAGCCTGCACGACTGCTCCCTTGCTTCAGAATGGAGTCCCTGATCCCTGCACTTACTCCCCACCTTAGCTCATCGCTATGGTCACGCCAACCACACCCTTGGCACAACTTGGTCTCCACATTTCCTCTTTTCCAAATGAAAAGGCATAGGTGGAGCAGGGGTTGGCCCTTTACCTGAAATTGCTTCCTGTGGCTCCAAAGGATAATTTCCCAAAGTCTGGCATTTCTGATCAGAAAGGACCTTCCTTCCTGTGGTCGGTCCATTCCCAGCCTTCAGGCAAATTTCCCTGAGTCACTTGATTCAGGGATTAAAAAAACCTTTTACGTTTGGAAAGTTCCTTCTTCCCTTTGGAAAGTCCCTTCTCTCTTAAGTCTCCTCTTCCTTTCTTTCCTCTCTTCCTATTCCTCTTGTCTAATCTTTTTCCTTCCTTTCTTCCTCCCTCCCTTCTCTCCTTCCTTCCTTCCTTCTCTCCCTCTCTCTCCCCTCCCCTCTTTCTTTCTTTCCTCCTCCCTCCCTCCCTCCTTCCTTCCCTTCCTTTCTTCCTTCTTTCCTTCCTCCCTCTCTCCCTTTCTTCTTTTCTCCCTTCCTTCCTAGCTTCCTTCCTCCCTCCCTCCTTTTCTTTTCTTTCCTTCCTTCTAAAATTTTGAAATATCTATTAATTCATCTAAAATAACAATATCAAAGTTTACATATCAATACAAGTAACATTTTTTAAAAAGAGAAATATAGCTGTATTTTTAAAACAAAAAATTAATGGAACGAGTGGTGTTGTTTTATATAATTTTGCAAGTCTTTTTAATGTCTGTTTTAAAAGAAGACAGCTAGATTCTCCTATCTTCTTCTGCATTCACTCTGTTGTGATATGTTGTTTTAGTTGAAGTATATGAAGAACATTTGGCCTTACACAGAAATGTAGTTGGAAAAGGGAGGAATATTTTAGTAGACAAATCATCTCTCAGTATTATTATGAAAATAGTTTTGATTTCGTGGATTCCCTGAACAGGTCTTGGGAATCCCCCAGGGTTCTGTGGATCACACTTTGAGAAGTACTGGTCTAGTGACTACTTGGAAGGATCTAATTCTCTTTGTCACTTGTTGACCTCTCTGCTCCCTCCTATATTTGAGATAGTACATGGTATATGTAGTCCGTCACTATCATCATAAATAAGTTTCCATATGCCTACTTACAACAAGAGCACGGTGGCTGTCAATATTTTTGTAATCTGAGGGTCATGTCCGTAGCTTAGGAGCCTTCATAGCTCTAGTCAAGAGAGGAGTTTTCTTTAGATTTAATTCTCTTGTCCTATAATAGTACATGTAGTGTCCTTTATAGGAAACATCACTATTTACACCCATATCTGGTTTAGTCTTTGTACTAGTAGATGACCTCTTTTGCTCAATATCCGACAAAGTAAATGTCCATCCTTTCTCACCACTTGCTCATTGGAAAGTACAATTAACTCTTGTATGAGCAATAAGTATAGGCAACTAGGTGATGCAGTGGATAGAGTGCTGGCTCTAGAGTCAGGAAGACTTATCTTCCTGAGTTCAAATCCAGCTTCAGACACTTACCTGGGCAAGTCACTTAACCCTGTTTTCCTCAGTTTCCTCATCTGTAAAATGAGCTGGAGAAGAAAATGGCAAACCACTCCAGTAGCTTTGCCAAGAACACCCCAAATGGGGTCACAAAGAATCAGATACGACTGAAATGACTGAACAAAAATGGGCAATAAGTAGTTATGGTGGATGATCTTGATAAGGTCTTCTATACTCTTTGGAGCTATTCTGTAAACAGGCATGTTGCCTAGGCTCTCTATAATTTTGTGTAGGTTAACTTTCTATCAGTCAGCTAACGTGTGAATTCCAAGGTTGCTAAATAGAACTCTCTCTGTCCTTGTCAGGAGTGTTAACGATGTACCCTAGCATTATATCATCTTTTGTTTTTATCACAGTTGTTCTGAAGTAAAGCCATGGCTAATGGATAGGCTTCTTTAAGCTGTCTCCCAACCAGAAGATGTAGTGAGTATGGTTATTTGTATCCTTTCCTTCACCTGGAAATCCAAAGCATGAGTTTGGGCTCCCACCCAAACATGAGCAAGTATAATTTAAAGAATGTAGCATTATTCATGGTGCAACTGTATACATGAACTAGAAATGACACATGTCTACGTGGAGGTTTTTCTTCTGGCTGGAGAGGTCCCAACATGTTCAATGGCTTGTGGTTGAAACACTCAGGCTGTGGATCTCTTTGTGGATGGTAAGGTGTAGTTCTTGACTTTTTAATCTCTGCCAAAGCCAATGTTTCCTTCTGTTCTCAAAGTCTCTACCTTTGTCAGAGGGGATCCTGTCAAAGAATCTATAGACTGAAAAATCCTTTTGTCATGACACATTAGCAACCATGGATGCATTTTATTTTCTGGTTGAGTATGCTGCTTATGCACACTTGGTGAAACCATCTGTTGCTACTAAGATATGACTTCCATTTTTACTCTCTCCTTCCAGAGATAAAATTTCAATACAAAACAATGCAAAGGCTTGCTAGTACTCTTAACTTCTAACAACGCAGCATGAGTTGGTAATGCTTTGTTTTATATACATTGGCACCCGTGACACACTTCTTGGTGATATCTGCTGCCATCTTGGGCTGGTAAAACCTGTTTCTGACCTGCTCTGTGGTCCTTTCTTGACTCATATGTTTAAAGTCATCATATAAGATACTTGTGGCTATTGGGCAGTATGCCTTGGGTTGCACTAGTTGCTTCTTTATTCCAGGCCTTGGATCCATCAGCATCTAACACCACACTCCATTGCACAGCTCCCACTTCTGTCATTGTCTCAGCATAGCTCTCTTGGGATAATAAAGCTCTGAAATCTTCCATGCTGGTATCCATGTGGAGAACAAAAGATTTGCTTGGTTCTACGTAAGGCAGCCTCATGGTATGGATAAGGTAGTTGATTAAATGTCTGAAGGCTTTTTCTATTTGTCTATTCATCTATCTCCAAAAGGCTTTGTAGGTTTTTAAGACAGTTTTGCCTTTCATACATTTTTGGTTCTGCATCTCTTCAGTCACATATGCATGAAAAAGGTCATTAGCAATAGTGACACAATTCTTTTTTTCCCCCAAGAAATCTTTTTAAAATATATTTTTGGTTTATTTTATTAAATATTTCCCAATCACATCAAAAAAATTTTAACATTCATTTTTGAAAGATTTGAGTTCCAAATGTTTTCCCTCTAGCCCCTTCCCCACCCCTTGAGAAGACAAGCAATAGATTGATCATACATGTGAAGTCATGCAAAACATGTTTCCATATTAGCCATGTTGTAAAAGAAAACACAGGAAAAAAAAAGAAAAAGAAAATGTGGAAAAGTATGTTTCAATAGCCACATAGTTCTTAAAATTTTTATGATAATAACCATCAGATCTCTGAAAAGATCTTAAATCTCTAAGACCATGTGGGTGTAGCTACTTCAGAGGGCTTCTGTTTTCCAGATCTGTGCTCACACCTTGTTGGGATATGATGTGGCTAACATATTTGACTTTTAACTTTATGTCAGAGTTGGGCTCTGCTCCTGGGATAGAGGGGGCATTGTCCCAGGCTTCAGGTTTTTCATGCTGCTGTTTTCAGAGCTAATTCTGGAGACCTGTAAGTTTTCAGGTCTTCCAAGGTGGTATGCTCTAAAGAGAGGTGTGATCCCTGCTCTCCTGGTCTGTGCTTTGGTCTGTGAATGACCATAAGCACTCTTTTCTGCCCTGGAATTGTGAGGAGGGTCTGACCCCCTTACCATCTGTGGGCTGAGAGCTCCAGAAGCTGCTATTGCAGATTTAGTTGCCCCCAAAGTCTGCTTCTGGTTTACCACCTGCTCTGCATTGTGCTCTACTCTCACCCCAGTGAAACAGACCTTCCTATTGACCTTCTAAGTTGTCTTGAGCTGGAAAATTGTTTCACCCTGTCCTTCTGTGGGTTCTGCTACTCTAGAATTTGTTTTGAGGCATTATTTTATAGTCGTTTAGAGGGGACTTTGGGAGAGCTCAGGAAAGTCCCTGCCTTTTCTCCGTCATCTTAGCTCTGCCTCTTGTGGCCAACAAAGTTGAAGAATTGGCACTTGTCAATTGGCAATTTCAGACCAGCTTCCCCAAGTCAATCTAACTTTCATTATTCTTTTTTTTTATATTCTTCCAATATCCTTCCAAAGACAATGACGTTGTAAAGGTACATCAGTACCTCCAGATAGTTCATACCACCAATGACTTTCTCCATCAGCTGTTGGAAAGTAGTTGATACATCCAGGATGCCTTCGGACATGTGTTCAAACTGGTCAAATCCAACTGGACAGATGCAAGCAGCCTTGTCTTTGTCTTCCTCAGACACAGAATCTGATAGCATCCACTCCACAGATCCAGAACTGAAAACCACTGGCTGTTTAATAGACAATCCAGGGCATCTTGAACCCATGACCTAGTGGACCAGCCTTACTTTTGGTTCCAAGTCCAGTATTCAGAGCCCTAGCCCACCTTATCAGAAGGTAGCTGTTCCATGCTCAGAAATAACTCTTTTACCTCACATAATGTGTCTCTCTGTGGTTTTCTGCATCTGATAATCTTAGGCAGATCAGGGTTGTTTTCTACCTTGGTGTGTTGCTGCAGGCTTCTCTGGTTCTACTGCTCCTCTCTGCCCTGATCTCTGAAGGAGATCATCTGATATGAGGGTAATGCCAGTAGGTTTTCCTCTTTATGCTGAATGGCAGTATCAATAAAGTTTGAATATGATTCTTGTAACATCTTGCCTCCCTATACTGAGTCTCTAGGCTTTTCAAACAAACCCACCCAACACTGTTTTCCTGGCAGACATGGCTCTTTTCCAGAGAAGATGCCAACTTTTGGTCTACAGTATTTGTCTACCACAAGGGGCAAGACTTCAGCTCTCTTTACAGGTTAAGTGCTCCTTCTAGCCTTGACTGTGACTTTTAGTCTTGATGTAGGAAGGCCTTCTACCCTTTCAGTAGTTCTTCCTCTCAGGAGCAACCGCCTACTGTTAGTTCCTTATATCTATCTATCCATCTATCTATATCTCTATATTTCTCTCTACATATATATATATATATATATATATATATATATATATATATATATATATATATGTATCCATGGTCAAAACTCTCAGGTAGAACTAGAAAGGACAGCTAGGTGGTACAGTGAATACAGTGCCAGGTCTGGAGTCAGGAAGATTCATCTTCCTGAGTTCAAATCAGACC